GATCTAGTGAAAGGCATGATAGAGGAAGAAGTGGAGAAATTAAGAGGCTACATCCAGCCTAAGTATGTGATAGTCATGACATTAAAGGAGAGCCTTGATAATGTTGTGCAAGTCAGGTGTTTTTAGAAGACCTAGCTAATTTCACAAAGATGTCTTTTGTCAAGTGGGGATTAAAACAATTAAAGCTGAAGACATGATTTGAAAGGTAATGAAAGAAGAGGTGAAGAAGATCAAACATACCTTCAGACCTATGGGACATCCTGACTGGATAACAGGCCATGAAAAGAAGAAAGAAATTATGGAGAAAGTGAGGAGCTGGTGTACGAACTTGAGAAAATAGAAGAACACAAAGGCGCTTTTCAGAGCCACTCGATTGCTTCGTAAAGATTTAATCTCTCTTGTCTAACTTTTTTAATCGATTGTATATTTTAGGTGTGATCAATTGATGTTCATCAATCTGTGTATATGTCTCTATACATGTTTCTATGTATAGGTCTCTACTATATTTATCTCTGCCTAGGTAATAGCGTATTCAGGTCAGCCACTTGCAACATTGTTGCCAGTACCGTGACATCACCCTACCTGTTCCATTCCTCTTGACCCCATACTAAATTTATCAATCTTGAGGCTACGGTACAACCCCCTAAATTTAATACAGAAGTCTACGTGAGGCTATAAATCTTGAGGCTACTGTACAAACGACCAAATTTAACATTAAGTTCCATGGAGGCTATGGTATCACCATTCACTACTCCCGGTTGAGACATACCAAAGACTTATAAAAATTGTACAAATTCACTTCAAATTAATCAGTCTTATATTTTTATAATATTCGTTACTCCAGTTTACTTAGGTCTATGCAGGTCATCAGTTGTGTTAATTAGGAAATATGCCAAATTTGGTTAGTTCAGGAAGATAATGATATCGTAGAGAGCAGATCCTAATCAGTCATGGAAATTTCTTCAAGTAACATTTTCACATTGAGATGCAATCCTTGACTATTTTCGTGCAGTTACTCTTCTTCTGAAATGGTTTTACCGGAAGAAAACAAAAGTTGTGACCAGTTTAATTTATAATTGTAATTCCGTATGTTGAGTTGTGTTTTCGCTTATGCAAACAAAATTTAACGAAATTATGGTCCCTTTTTATGTAAGGTTTCGCTCATCATTTGCATCAAATTGACTTGGACACCTGCGTAGTAAGAACACATTTAAGTTTTACTGTGTTTTTGTAAGCGTAATATTAGAACTACATTATTGATAGAGTGGATAGTTATTGTGGAAAATTTCTTTATTAAAACGATTAAACACCAAGAAAACATATAAAGGTCAGAAATCCTTCTGAGAGAAGTATAGTAACATAGTTAATGTCTTTTTTATTGCTGTTATGATAGCTCTTTGTGCCTTTCTTCCCATCATTTGATAGGAATATTACTGTACTAATATCTGTTACATTTCTAATTTTGACTCATCTCAGGTCACTGACTGACACATATACTAGTAGGTAGAAGAACTAACATACTGCATGAAGACCAGATAGGTTACTTCTTGACCTATGTACGTAATATAACCAACACAGGATACTGAACGTTTTTTTAGGCGATTATTTAGTTTCTTTCTAATCTGATAGAAAAAATGACAGCAACAAAGTTCGTTCAGAACAAAAACCTTTAACGTCTCGAAATGTTCTCATCTTTTCAAAAAGTACACCTACCGTTTATACTCGCTTATACGGGCAGTCAAGCTGAAGACAACAACAACAAATCGTGATGCGTCGTATCTTACTGCGCCTGTACATCAGTGTCTATCTTGTTTGTTCCTGTGATTACTTCTAAAAATAAACATAGATATGCCGTCTCATTATGCGATGGTAGTAATGGGTCAGAGCAGTTTGCAGTTGGATTCGACTTAAAAACGAATGTAGATGGTACGTTATTGATTAGATAACATTGTAATATATGTATATATTTTGCGTTAAAACTAAGTGTTTGACTATGCCAAATAATTTCTATAAAAAAATGTATTATGCTCGGAGTAAAAGTTTTGATCCACTATTTACGAGTGATCAGGGGCCCCGAGTAGCCGAGTGGCCTAAAGCGCTGTCCGTTACGGATCACTGCCATCTCACCTCTGTCTGCGTGTGTTCGAGTCTAGGATTCGGCGAAGGTGGATATGTGAGAAAGCTTGCCAGTAGCTTCTCATGGGTCGGTGGTTCTTTCCGGTGATTTCCCAATTTCTTCCTCCACCATTAATACTGGCCGCCAGGAATAGCCTATCGTGTGCTGAAAAATGGCGTTAAGCCCAACAACAACAACAACATTTACGAGTGATCGATAAAGAAAGTGATTTGTTGAGTACTGGGTCATTTCATAGTGTTAATGAGTAAATGCAATAGAGAAAAAAAATATTGCCAGTGAAATCAACATCTATCTGCATTTAATTCCTTTAATAACAATATCGAGATGGTCGAAGTTGTCTTGAAAAATGACATTTTGTACACGATTAAGAGCTCTACATGGTACGTAAATGTTAGAATAGAGACCGTGAGGTGAAAATGTATATTGACTTAATTAATACTTTTGTAACTAATGCTGTTTGTAACCCATTAGGTCGTTGTTCCGTGCTTTGGTAGAAATGCCACGAAACAACTGAATGTTTGAACCAAATTTTGATTGATCACTGGTTATTGACCTAAGACATTCATCATAATTACAGGTGTCAAGATGTAATCAATTAAACTGTCTGCATTAAGTATTATTACCAGCGTGAGATACTAAACTCTGTCTAAATAACTGGTTTGCACCTTTTTCTGGCGATAATTATTTATTTGGAATCTGATTGAAAGTGCCAGTTACACCAGCATCTCCAAAGGGTTCCATCTTGATAAACATATCTGCATGTGCAGAGTTAGTTTACAAGCATACTAAAACGTGTCGATTTGTTACATGTTCAACCTTTTACGCTGACGTTCTATGAAGACGTGTCTTTTCTGAGAAGAGAGTTGATGTGACCTGAACGAACTTGGTCACGTGTGCTTTGTTATTCAAATTGCAAGATAAAAGTTATCGTTGGAAAACGGATTTGAATTTACCTCTAGCTTGACTTACTATGTATAATTCTTAAGATCAACAAATAAGCAACTGTTTGCACTTTGTATAGTTTGTTGGACCCAACTATCTGACTCATAGTATTTTAAAGAAGAGGAACAAAGTTACATGGGGTTACAGCACATACACCTTGGCTGCATTTACATCCCCGGATTGTTTCGTCGTAACATCGTCAACGTATTTTTGATAACTTCCACTGACATGCCAGTATATGATTATTCAGTCCTCAGTGATATCGGCCAGGTTTTTCGCGAGGCAGAACAGCATCGTTAATGTCCACTTTGGACAATTAGATTTTTTTCAGTTTGATCTTATCAAAATACAAGTTCGAGCAAAATCAGCTTCAAGAACAACTCCGATACTTAAGTTAAATTGACTATTTCTACCTACGTAATTTAATCCTCAACGCCGCGTTGGATATCTACGCTATAGGGTTCATATCGTCCTCAGGAATTTCGTATACTGTTAAGCGTAATTTCTTTGTGACAATACAAACTCAGCGAGTGTTTGTGGTTTCAGGCTTACCGCCAGTGAATGGAGTGCTTTAATGATACAATATTTACATACTGGGCCGTCCACTCTAATTTGCAGCTGTATTGGTGAATAATGCTCTGGTCCTTCCAGCGTCAGCGGACCGGATTAAATAATAACCTTCACCTTGCGGTGCAAGCTGATAACAGCCAATACACAACCGAATTAGAGACATTATCTCGTATCCAGCCAAATGAATTCCAGGCAATATTGTTCAATCCAGATTAACGGTTCTGGTTTCCCACTTGTTAGGGGATCATCGCTTGATAGCATCTGGCACCAAGTTCATCCCTCGTGAAACACCTTCGAAATGTTTAATGACGAGGAAATCCTCGCGAATAAACCAAAACTGATCCAGTGACCGTTAAGAGTAAGGAAACAACAAAACAACAAAAGACCACTTCTGCTTGGGAAGATTGGCTCTGACAGGATATTCGATGACCTCTCTCTCTCTCTCTCTCTCTCTCTCTCTCTCTCTCTCTCTCTCTCTCTCTCTCTCTCTCTCTCTCTCTCTCTCTATATATATATATATATATATATATATATATATATATATATATATATATATATATATATATAGCGCGATCTTAGTCGTGAGTGTGTCGGAGTCGCCTACTGACCTGGATCTCTCCTACCCAACAGAATACGGCCATGTGTGGTTCATCAGGTGGGGTGGTTATATTGCAACACTGCAGGGGACATCTTCAGTCTACTCCGCTTCCTAACACCACCATAGCAGACACAGTTGGCCATATATATATATATATATATATATATATATATATATATATATATATATATATATATATATATATATATATATATATATATCTATATCTATATATATATATATATATATATATATATATATATATATATATATATATACATACACACACACCCAGGCGGAATCACGTGACCCAAAACTAAGACAATAGATGTCACTACAAAGCCCGCCAAGTATTTAAAATCACAATATAAACTTTAACGAAACGAAATATTAAACAACGAAAGGAAAATTTGAAGTTCATGAGGTTCTGCGTTATAATATATATATATATATATATATATATATATATATCACTGAATTATTATAGAATTTAATATCTTTTCTAATTATCTTGTTCGGTAGTATCTCATTTGTTATTCGATTTCCAGTTGTAAACCGACTCAAAGATGTGTGATGTGATGTGATTATGACGTTTGACGTATCTTTAACAATTTTTCAGTCATATCGCTACGAAATCTGCAGTGTGCCAGTCATATTATCCTGACACCAGGCAGACCAGTCCTAACAATAACCTCTTAATGCTGAGTGTCAAGCGAGGCAGCTGCTAGTGCCATTTTTGCAAGTCTTTGTTATTACTCGAACGGGGATCGAACCCATGATCCCCCGCGTCTGAGACGGACGCTCTAACCACTAGGCCACTGGAGCGGTTCCGACTCAAATAAATTGGAGTAACTAGTTTTATTACGTCTTCGGTACCTGTGTTTGGGGTGGAGCCTCTGTTGTAAAATGCAATATTCTCTACAAAAACAAAATGTATAAGTTGAGTTTAATGATGCATTGTAAATGGTGTTGAATTTGCTGCTCATTTCGGTTTTTGTTCGTTTCGGTACTAATTTATTATTTCTAAATTTTATTAAGTTATAGTTATGCTTGAATTAATTTACACAAATTGTGGTAATGTATTTACTGTTTGGCTATTTCAGTGACATGATTGCATGCTACGAAGTCATTGTTCTTTTTTTGTCTTTTCTGTGTTCTTTTTTCATAAGCATATAACACATACTTTCGCAACAGCAAGTACACCATCCATCTAGTAATGGATGTTGTAACCTATTTTAGCACCATCTAAGTTATTTTTGCGTCCGACTTGGTTCGCAGTGATCATAATATTTCAAAATTTGTTTGCTTTTGCTTTTATAAAATGATGTGCATTTTTTTCTAATTTGTTTGACAAGTTCAACATTAAAATGACATTTTAACTTTTGTGAAGTTTCCTTTCCATGTGATTTAGGAACATAAAATTCTATTGATTTTACTTTCACCACCCTCTATTTTTTCTTAAAGAAATTTTAAGTTTTAATTGATAGTTATTCATGTGATCTTCAAATTATTTTCGAGTAATTTTTTTTTACGTTTATGATGTCAAGTTATTTTTAAATTACCTTCAACTTAGTTTTGAATTTCAAATATGTGAAGCAGTATTTATTGACACTTACTTGGTTAAGCAGATGGAACCAGAAAACATAGAATCTTTTCGCTTTCCTTTTCCAGATAATTATGCATAAAAATTATAAAGTTAGCTCTAATTGGAAATTTAAAACTTAAAAATAAGCACAAAGTGAAGCATTTAATTCTACTTCGTGTTAAGTTGTCAAATAATATTTCATCAGTTTTGTCTGTAATACGTTTAAATTCTCAATTTCGCCTATAGGCTTCCTTTATTCACACACACACACACACACACACACACACACACACACATCCTTTTGCTAGCAGATGGAAAGTCTAAGCCATTTACATTAACAGTTGGAGAAATGTTTCCTCATTCAGTATAAAGAAGATATCACGCGTAATTATTTTAAGTTAACTGAAGAAGAGATTATGCTAAATAAACGTCAATTAAAATTTAAAAATGAAACACTGTATTAGGAAGAAAGCGAGAGCCCTGATATTCAACGTTCTTGATAACCCACTAAAATATTATCATACCTTGCTAGCCACCACCGTAAGCCTGGGTCCGCAAGATTGTAGTTTATACCCCAGGTCCACATCCACACTAGTAGGCAAACGAAAGTCATAATCTTTCTTTTGTGTGGAAGTTTGTTGCCCGGGGAGCTCTCCCCCTGTGTTGATATTTCCTTCCGTCTGTCCTCCCTCTCCTCCTCGTAGTCCCAGCAACCAAGCACGGCGATGAATGTCGTGTACACCTCATCCAGCAGCAAACCAAGCACGGCGATGAATGTCGTGTACACCTCATCCAGCAGCAAATAACTATCTGCCAAACATGTGTGAGCCACATACGTTTCAAATATATCTGAGTTGTGAAATTTCCTAGCATGTTTTATGTTTTTATTTGTTTTAGTGTACTATGCGTACTTTTTGTTTCCGAAAAGTATGTCAAATTTGGTGTTTATTAGATACCCTTTTCAAGTTTGAGATCTTAATTTGGCTTTTTAGGGATAGTTTGAAAAATATTTAAAACCAATCATTCCTTTCAGGGCCACCGGTTTAGTTGCATTCCCAATGAGGGCTCATAATAGCCAAAATTGAGCCCAATGCATGGCAAATTGCTATTAACAATCTTTTCACTTCCCCACTGTTATAAAAACAACAATGGAGGCACAGTGTTATGGTAAATACTGTATCAACAGCAATCTTCTTTCTTCTTTTGTAGTTTTAAATCCGCTTTTACTATTGTTGTAGTGTAATAGTAAAAACTCATGATTCCTTTGTTCTTCTTTCTTCTTCTTTGTTCTTCTTTCTTCTTCTTTGTTCTTCTTCTGTGGCGGGAGCTCTAAGAAACACGTCCATACTCTTCGAAGGCTATGAAGTGAACCGCGGTTATTTATAGTGGAAGAGCAAATCGAAACGGATTGAAATTTTTCACCAATCCAAATTAGCGTTACAAAATTCAGCCACCGCGTGGGGTCTGCCTTCCAATCTGAAGAAAGCTGCATTCGACGTCACATTCTCTCTCTCTCTCTCTCTCTCTCTCTCTCTCTCTCTCTCTCTCTCTCTCTCTCTCTCTATATATATATATATATATATATATATATATATATATATATATATATATATATATATATATATATATATGCGTTAGCGTCTCTGAGCAGTGAATCTATGCGACATAGTTCTAAAACATGACGCAAACTAAGAAGACGATGAATTCCGGTGCACCCGCCTTGGCGACAAGGAGTGATGGATCAGAAGCGGCTACAAAAGCCAGCACGGACCAACTTCCAGAAGAAGTCGATTTTAATTGGGATTTAATGGACTTTGTCTCTTCTTTGCAAGATTTTGTTCCGGTACCATCACTTTCGCCACCTTCTCCTTCCATGCCACATGTCGAGGATTTAAAACAGAGACAGAGAGAAAATTGGAGAAATTTTTGCAACAACAGAAAGAATCAGAACAAGCTTTTCTCCTTCAACAGCAACAGAAAGAAGAAGTTAGAATGAAACGACAGGAAGAAGAAGAAACAAAATCCAGAAGAGAAGAAGAATAGTGAAACTCAAACGGTGATGGTACTCTTGGACATTTTGGCAAAGTTAAGGAGTTTGAAACAAATGAGTCAGACTTCTTTATTACGACCCAAGAGAAAAATATCTTTCTTTGCCAAACAACCCAACCCAGTTACTACGCCTAAGATACTCGCCCTAGTGATTTCTATCAAATCTTCGACAGGATGAAATTCAGACACTTAGCCATGGCAAAGGGATAAGGCATTTAAAGTTAATTGCTTTTCGTTCCTGAGTTTGTTTTTCCTAAAACAAAGAAACAAACACCCAACGTCACTTTTCAGGGCCACCCAATTCTTTCGAATAGAGATAGTATTCATTTTGACAAAATCAATTAAAACTCAGAAATCCATTTTTACCCCATGATTTACGTGTGTGAGTGCATGAGTGTAGGTCCTTATTCTAAACAATCAAAACAACTAGACACTTATTTTGTTTGTTATATGCTGGTACAAAGTTTACAGTCCAATATCACAACACAACACTTTAAAAAGTTCATAGACTTCATCTGTGTATTTGTTCACTCTATTTTCTTTTTTTTTTTTTCTTTTTCCGAATTTCTTCAATTTTACAGGTTTTTCCTCTTTTTGCTGACTTTTTATCGTCTTCTTTTCTTCTCTGTCTTCTCTTTCTGGACGTGTTGGGGTTCATCCTTTGCCGAAGACACTTCTTCTTCTTCCTGTTCGGAAGCACTCTCCTCCTCCTGCTCAAATTGTTTCTTGAAACAGTCTGAAGACTAATGTCCTCACTCTTGACAAGCTCAAATTGTTTCTTGAAACAGTCTGAAGACTAATGTCCTCACTCTTGACAAGCTCAAATTGTTTCTTAAAACAGTCTGAAGACTAATGTCCTCACTCTTGACAAGCTCAAATTGTTTCTTGAAACAGTCTGAAGACTAATGTCCTCACTCTTGACAAGCTCAAATTGTTTCTTAAAACAGTCTGAAGACTAATGTCCTCACTCTTGACAAGCTCAAATTGTTTCTTAAAACAGTCTGAAGAATAATGTCCTCACTCTTGACAAGCTCAACTTGTTTCTTAAAACAGTCTGAAGACTAATGTCCTCACTCTTGACAAGCTCAAATTGCTTCTTAAAACAGTCTGAAGACTAATGTCCTCACTCTTGACAATCATAACAGGTATCTTGACTTCTGTCTCTTTTGACACTGGTCTTGCTTTTTTTGTCTGGACATTATGTAACTGTGAAAACATCAAAACAAAAATGGATACCTGGTAACTTTATTACCTTTTGAACAACAGTTCGTACACTGCTTCTTGGAATCCTGTCGTGTGAGTTAAAGATGAACTACCTCATCGCAAACTTCAGGACCATCGAGCTTATGCCATCAACACGGACAACAGTCATTCCCAGAAACCCACTGGGTAGCCATTTAATTTCCTAAAGAGGGTTGTGTGGAGTGTTTTGATTTGTATGGATTACCGCCTTTGGCAGACAACATCATTGACTTTATTGCCCAGACGATATGAAATTACTAGGCATATAGTCCAAGGTGAGTGGGTGATATTGTGTGTATTTTCTTCATCAACGCAGTCTTGGATAGTCCTTAAAACATTTGGTGATTTATTTTGATCGTATCTCTTCTGGAAATGATTACAAAGTAGATCGATGGTTTTATCGCCGTTCTGGCTATCTCTTGTCTTTAGCTAGGAAACGTAGTGTAAATCAATGGCCTAATGCCTTTCATCAGCGGAAATGTAAATTGACTTCACAAAGTCTTTAACCTTGTAAAAAATGTTTGTTTGATGTTATAAAATTTGTTAAGTAAAAAAATTGGTTACGTAAAAAAAAATTGTGTAAAAGGGGAAAAAATTGTGTATGTTATATGATTTGTTAGTTGCTAGTTGTTTGTTGAAAATAAATGTTGTGTTTTGAAAAATCTGTTTGTCGTTTGTTTTCAAAGATTTATCGTTATAAATGCTCTTTAACTTCTCTTTATCCCTCACCATGATATTAGCTATCATAACGTTCTGACTCAACAATAAAAATAGTAGGGATGTTGTCTATTGCAATCGCGTTTGAGCCATATCAAGCATGTCAGTCTAGTCTGACCATCTAAACATTATCCTTTCGGACGCCGGTCAAAATTCTTCAGCCCTCCTTACCTAAGCGGAGCTAAAAGTTGTAACGGATGGCCCAAATCCAGCTGTTTGGAAATAATTTAGA